TCTCCAGCATCTGCAGTTCCTGCTATCTCTGAAACAATTCTTAACATCCTTGTTTAATGGTCTTCCATTATGGCCTTCCTAGATCCATCTTCCTCACTAAGATATACATTCGTTATGAGCCATGAAATATTTTCCTATGTTATCTTTCAGCTACCATCTTTGCCACTAAAGTCCTTCCCCAGTCCACTGCGACTAGCACTGCCTTCAGTCCTTTATAATCTCGACAGTGTGGAAACAGGCCGTTTGGCCCAACAAGTCCACACCACCCTCCGAAGGGTGCCCCACCCAGACCCACAGCCCCTATCCTATCCTATCTCTATAACCCTGCATTTCCCATGGCCAATCCACCTAGCCTGCACATCTTCAGACTGTGGGAGGAAACCAGAGCATCCAGCAGAAACCCACGCAGAGACAGGGGGAACGTGCAAACTCCACACAGTCACCCAAGGGTTGAATTAAACCTGGGGCCCTGGTGTTGCGAGGCAGCAGTGCTAACCAGTGAGCCACCGTGCCATCCAAAGTTTAGCTTAGTTATGTCAAATCAAAGTTTCTTCCTCTCAAACTGAATGCTAGATTCTAACCCTTTTAAGGTTAATGTTTTTAAGGAGATCTTTTAAATGTGCCTCATTACACATCACCAGAGCCAAAATACTCTGATCCCCAATTGAATCAACAATATAGCGTTGGAGGCAAATATCCTGAAAATCCTCTATGAAATCTTCCTCATGACTATCTTTACCAAGCTGACTTTCCAATCCACCTGAAAACTAAGTTATCCTTGATTAAAGTGCTTCCTTTTTTACATGTCGTCATTATCTGATGATTTATTCTCTGTCCTACCCTGTAGCTATTGTTGGAGGTGGGGCAGGGGAGGTCATATACTCCTACTAGTGTCTTCTTTCCCTTGTTATTTGTCATCGCCACCCATATGGATTATACATCTTCTGATTCAAGGTCATTTCTTGCTAAAGTACTTATTCCAGTCCATATGAACAAAACTATCCCATCTACCCTGTCTTTCCTTCCTGCTTGCCCTTTCAGGAAGTCACATACCCCTCCTTCTTGAGTTCCCAGCTTTAATCTCCTTGTAATCGTATCTCCATAATGGCTGTAAGGTCATACTTGTGAACTTCTTTTGTTCCATTAATTCACTTATTCTGTCTCAAATGCTACCTGCATTCAAAAGGCAATAATTTTGTTCTTTTTACCATTTTTCCATCCTTTCACCCCATGTATTGTCGTTTATGCACTCTGTCCCATACTTGGTATCGTTATTCAAATACCAACCCTGAAATGCTGCCATATCATTTTGCTTTGCAAGCCTCCCTTTCCCTTCTCCCAAACCCTCCTTCCCTCTAAAACAGACCCTTAGACTGACGCATCACTGCCCACAAAATAGCAAACTCAGCTCAACCGGAAGAATTGATTAATCTTGCTACAATATCTTAATGATAGATAGTAAGAGCAGAAGGGCAGATTACTAGGAACTGTATATTTGCATTACTTAAGATAATTTGTTTCATACCTACCAAAAAATGTAAAAAGCTTGTAAGTTGGCCAGTATCAATGGTTATAGCCCTCACTGTAATATTGAATGACTGAATCCTTCTAGGTAGAATCACGTCAATGTAATCGATTGGGACAACACCAAGATACTGAGACAAGCTAAGCAGAGACAGGCATGGAAGTTCCTAGAAGCCTGGTACTCCACAAAGAAAGCCATCAATAAACACATAGAACTCGACCCCATATACACTCCATTGCGAAGGAAAACCGGAAGTGAGGTAATCCAGCTCAATGGACTCCAGAGTTTAAAAACCAGGCGGGAAAACACAACAGCACTTCATCGGAAGCTGCATGGATGATGTTACCCAGCAGGGTAATGAAACGTCTGTGGAACAACAACGAACCAGCTCGGCGAGCCAACGAACCACAACATCCACAACCCAAGCTACAAATCTACTCACGTCAATGTACTTGGTTGTTCAAAGGATGTCATGAGGTCATTGGAGTGATCATCTTGTGGAGATTAAAACCAAGAAGCATAGCCACAATCTCCTGGACTGACAGAATTTGATTTGCCTGGTCTTGTCACATTCAATCCATTTTCATTTTTATTCATTCATGCCAAGGCCAAAATTTGTTACCTATCTCTCTAACTGAGCTGAATGGCTTGCTAAGCCATATCAAAGGGACAGTTAAGGGTCAGTTGTATTGCTATATGGCTGAAGTCACATTCAGGTCAAACTAAGCGTGGAATCTTATAGGGGGCCTGAGCAATGTGGGCTATAGTGAGAAAACTGAGAGAATCGCGTGACATGTCAAACAAAGCCTTTATTGACATCGGGAGCAACTCTTCGCATTTTCAAACAGAGTCCTGGGCATCGAGACAAGATTCTCGCTGGGCAGCAGCGAGATGCCTATTAATGGAGATTAATGCTTGTTGTTGGTTTCATTAACGGCAAATCTCACGTCATTAATATACAGCTTCCAATCCTATCACCTGCCACGAGGAAACTAAACGTCAACAATGCCCGACATGAAAGTTGAAGCAGGCACCTTATGACTTAAACTCACTGCCTGTTCCTCCAGACTGCCATCTTGGACACCTGGTGCCAACAGCTATGGGGATCCACGGACATTTGCATCTGAAATGTGTCAGCCTTCCCACACCATCATGGCATATCTCTGGTTCATTTACAGTAAGCTGTTGAACCTTGGTCCGCAGCGGCAGCCATCACTGCATCTGCAACACACAAGGGCAGGCACCCAACTCCTGGATTGGACCAGGGTGCACCGCGGTCGGATCTGCTGGCTTGTTCTCCTAGCCATTCACTCACTTCGGACATACCTGGATGCTCACAGCATCCCTGCCTTGCCTTGCCCTGTGTTTTTGTGATATGTTCCTTCAGCCAGAGCTACCAGGCTCAGAGTACTCCAGTCTCACCCCGTTGTTCAGTGCAGGCACAAAGCCAGGAAGCTTGCCCATGCTTGTCAGCAGTCCTCGGTCAAGGAAGGCAGCCTTGAGCCAGAGGCTTCCAGCACAGTCCAGGGGCCAGAACATGGATGGTCCGCCGATCGGGGTGGTCAGAGTGGGGATCCTCTCCTCATAAAGGAGTGAGGCACTGAATATCGAGCAGGCAGCCGCCTGTCTTGACTCTTTCTGCCCTATTGGGGGCTGCTTTCTCCTGGAATGAGAGACAAGGCGGCAGTAAGGGAGATGAAAGAGGCTGGTGCAGATGTTACTTTTGGTGCAGGGGAAGAGGGGAAATGTGGTGATGTGTTTGGAATGAGAGAGTAGGCAGTGTGGAATTCATAGCACAAGGAAATTGAGGGATGAGAGCGAGTGAGGAAATTGGATATACGCTCAGTGGGAGTGGTGGAGAAAAAGCCTTAGTAGAACGAGTGTGCAGTCACAGAGAGAGTGAGTGTGAGGTACCACTTACGCTGGCAAAGTAGTAAAGGGTATTGACCTTCTTCTTGCATTGCTGAGTGTTCCCGCAGACGGCAGAGACTGCATTGACCCAAGTGGCAACCTCGGTCCAGGATGCCATTGTCTGGTGTCATAGCCTCCTCAGGCGATCCTGAGGGAACAGGACATCCCCTCCTTTGCAGCAGCCCACCCTCTAGGACATCCTGGTCCTTGTCCACAATTTCCCCTTCTCCATCATGTCTGCAGCAAATGGCAGGAACCGTGCAGGGCAGCCCCAGACTGGCAGTCCTTGTCCCAGGTGCACAGTGGCTTTTTAAAGATGGCACTGGTGCCAGGAATGACAATGCATTCCAGGATATTCTAGTGATGATGAGTTCTCCCAGCTACAGTGAGTGGTAGAAACAGTCTACTATTGGACCAGATGGGTGCAATAGTGGGTGTTAGGTAGTTAATGAGTTTGGGAAGATAGCATGAGAAAACTCACTAGGCCTTGCGGAGAGAAACCCACATAACTCACACTTTACCAAAATATGACAAGATTCAGCTCCATGTAAAGATGGGTTCTGTTCGAATTCTGTCATCAGTGAACCAAAAGGGTTTTTAAAATGATAATTGTTTCATGGCCACCATTACTGAGACTTGTTTTCAATTCCAGGATTTATTTAACGGTAAATCAACTGTGGCAGTAGGATTTTAACCAGTGTCCCTAGATAATCAAAGCTGAATGTCTGGATTGCTAATCTAGGCCAGTACAATACCACCACATCCCTGTGATAAAACTGCCTTGATGATGAGGGAGGAAGTGCTTATGGTCTGCATGTGACACTGTAAGCACCTTTCAAAATACATTTACAATGCCTTTGTACAAAGCAATCCTTCTAATGATCAAATAAACTGTTACTGTCAACATTTAATGAATAAGGACTGATGGTGCAATTCTGTTCTTCCAACAGAAAGCTGCCCCATTGAAAGGAGTGTTTCAGAAAAATTGTAGACTGCCTGTAAGGGTAGTAGAGGCAAAAATCCTCGTAACGCTTAAGAAGTATTTAGATATGCAATTGCAATGCCAAGGCATATAAGGCTATGGGCCAAGTGCTGGAAAATGAGATTTGAATAGGTCGATGCTCGTTTTTGACCCGCGCAGAATTGATGAGCCAAAGGGCCTTTTGCTGCTTTTTTACCCATGACTTATGATTGTGCAATGATGAATTCCTAAGAAATGCATCCAGGAGTGAGAACCATTCCCCAACAGCAGCACCAGTACACTGACTGCAAACTGCAAGCATTCCAAGGCATTTCATGTGACTATTGACACTGAGTCATCGAAATGGATTCTAATAGGATCACAAGACATTGGGTCAAAGAGGGAGTTTCTATGGAGATCTTAAAAATGAGGCGGTGAGTGGTTGGGTAAGAGTTCTGAGACAGAAAAGTTTAGTAAGGGAATTCCACACTAAAGGAGCTAAGTAACTGAAGGCATGACCACCAATGCTGAAGCAGAGGAAATGCCCGATGGGACAAGATGAAAATTCCACAACTTACTTAAAAAGCCGCAACACTAAAAACCCAATTTTCCATTTTTTTTAATCACTTTAAAATTCAATTAGCTTAATGAGTAAAAGTAAACAATTACTGATGTAAGCAACACTGAAAAAATCTTATATGATTTTATGTCCATTTAACAACATTGTCAATGCCTGTAGGTAAAAGTAGCAACTTTATAGATTGTTAAATAATTTATAGCCCGAAATGGCACTGCCCAAAATTACTGCAGCAAGCAACTGTTCTGAATGAAAGGGAGGTGCCAAACAAATCCAACGCAGCACAATTTAACACTGCAGTCTTAATTAGGCACTTAGTTTAAAGAAAGGCACAACTTGCACACTGTAGCTAATGAAACAAAATTGAAAATGATAAATAGGAAAAGGAGAAACAATGGTATATAAATTATATGTCTTTCTCCTACTTCATATTGCACAGTTGGTACATATGGCTGGATATATTCTTGCTGATTTACAAATGAATAAAATGATTCAGCAGTATTTCTCTGGTGCTCCTCTTATCTGTTCACCCAGCTGCGACTTGTACTGCCATAGGCATTGTAAGGGAGAGGATAGACCGTCGATGCATGGTTTGTCCAGTGACGCTCCCCAAGTCTCAGCTGCTGTTGCTTTTGGTGTTCATTGTACTGAGACAGCAGGTTTTCAACCTCCTGCTTGTCATTAAAACGATTTTCACCATATTCCGCGCGAAGCCATCTCCGATACTGAAACAAAACAAGCACATGTCAAAATTCTGTTTTTCTCCCCTGATGTCACAAGGACATATTGCTGAGAAGTCACCAATAATCTCCAATGGCTGTGAGTTGTGGATTTTCTCACCCCAAGCCAATAACAGTAGCCCAGCCTATATTTACATACATGACAAAATCAAATACCATTGTTTCAGCTGCCCAGTCAGCTGTGGCACAGTTGGTAACAGTCCCCCATGAAAGTTGGCAATCAGTAAACCTAAGCTGACATTCTAATGCATTACTAAGGGAGTGTTACACTGTCATAAGTGCTGTTTGTTCAATGCAACGTTAAACCAGAGCCACATCTGCACCTTCAGGTGGACATTAAACAGTCCCATGGCATTATTGTAAAGAACAGTAGGTGAGTTCACCCAATGTCCTAAACAGAAAGGACGCGTTGCATTTATATAGTACTTTTCACCACCACTGGACCATCTCAAAGAGCTTTACAGCAGTTTTGAGGTGTCGTGACAGTTGAAATACAGGAAAACACAAAAGTTAATTTATATCCCACAAACAGAAATTTGATAATGACCAAATAATCTGTTTTCATGGTGTTGACTGAGAGAAAAGTCTTGGACGGAATAGGGTGGAGAATTCCCCTCCCCTTCTTCAAAATAATGCGATGGAATGTTTTATAGCCTCCCAAGCAGAAGCTGGGGCCTTTGTCTGATGTGGCTGCATAGACAGCACCTCCAACATTATAGCACTCCCTTAGTACTGCATCATAGTGTTAACCCAGTCTTTACACTCAAGCCCTGGAGAGACTTGAGTCCAAAACCTTGTGACTCAGAGACAAGTATGTTAGCAGCTGAGATAATAGTGGAAGTTTTAATTCTTCAACCAACATCATCAAGATTATAAGATTTTATACTTGTTATCACGACATTGCTGTTTGTGTGGGCAGACACTGGTTGCTGCGTTTCCCACATTAGAATAGTGGCAACATTTGAAAAGAACTTCATTGGTTGCGAAGTGTTTTGGGATACTCCGAGGCTTTGAAAAGTGAGTCCCTTCTTTATTTTGCCTGTGGTACATGCCACTGATCAGTGGCAGCATATTAAAGCATTGTGACCTGTCATAACTCTGAGACTGTGAGTTTTTGACTGCTTTTTGGTGTTAGTACCTAGAGAATCCTCATGACCTGTGCTATCTAAGGGCCATGAAGGAATGGTAGAGGCTGAAATTTAAAACTGTCTATCTTTGGTCGACCTTGGGATCTTGCACAGAGCCCTCCAGGTAGTGCATTTCCCATCCTAACCTATAAACTGGCCCATCATCTGACTGACTGGTGACCATCATCTCACTGGTCATACAATGGACCTACTGCCAGTCAAGTGACAATTAATAGTTAAGCCCAATCTTGTCTTCACTCTATTTCTGCACCTTCAGCAGGGATCTCAGGATAATTTTTAGAGCAGCAATTAATTTGATTTTTCTTCTGTCTTTCCCAAGGCACCATGGACCAGAGCAGTACCACCACTACCACCTTGGCTATGATCAACTATCAGCCTCAATCCTGGCACTTTCCTGATCTACATGCCACACCGGGTAATGTGCTTGTCATCGAGGTAATTAGGGTAGGCTACATTTTTCTCTAACACAGAGCTATCAAGTCTCTATTCAGCAATTATTGGCTTGTGATAATTCCAGGATTTTTGAGGATTATATTTTGCTATTTTTATTTAGAATTAAAGCAAGTGGTTTGTGGTGCTTGAAAAGTCAAGTTTAATAACGTCTTCCATTCCACAAGGTTCTTTAGAAAGCATGTTCCAATCCCGACCTCTATCATCGAGAAGAACAAGGGTAACTTATGTTTTGTTTTGTTCATTAGATATGGGAAACACTGGTTGGATCAACATTTATTACCGAACCCTAATTGCCCTTGAGAAGAAGCTGCCTTCTTGAACCTCCGCAGTCCTTGGGGAACACTCCCACCTACAAGTTCCTCCAAACCACACACCTTACTGATTTGGGACTACATCGCTAGTCCTTCATTGTCGCTGGGTCATACCTTGGAACTCTCTTCCTAACAATACCGCAGGTGTCCCCACATCTGCAGCAGTTTATGATGATGACTCACTACTAGTCTCACAAGGGTAATTAGGGATGGTCAACAAATGCTGGCCTGTACCGTGATGTCTATATCACATGAAAAAAAGAATTTAAAAATTCTACCCATTTTCCCCAAAACCCTCAAATCAACAATATTTTTTATAATGTTGACATAAATGGAGATTTTTAAGATGATGACAATAGTCCTCACACCTGTACACTGTGCCCTCCAAAGGCACAATATGGGTCTCTGAATCTACCAAGTTTCCAAGATCGGACAGGTATGGGAGGGCTAACACCATTTGCACCAGTTATACCGTTCTCAACCTAAATCTGGCCATCCCTGCAGCCTCACTTTGCCTTAAGGACAAATCTTTAAGAACAAATCCACAGAGTGGAGGACACACACCTGGGGAGATAGAAAAAGCAGCAGAGACCACCACTCACTACAATCAAACTAGTGCTGTCAGGACACATCCTCTTTCCATGAGAATTATGATTAAGGTAGACCATGTGAAGCGCTCTGCAGCACCTTCAATGCAGCATCTACTTCCTTCTTAAATGCAAATCTATTTGCAAATCAACATGAAGTTCTAGTCTGTGCACATGACAAAGAAGCCCCTTATATCAGTCATAAAATTAGCTGTTACTAATTTGGACCAGTATCTCTTGCCCTACTCACACTCTATATCTTCAATGTAATATTCTGGATTCACATTTTACTCATCTTCTATTACCTTTACAAAATCACCTCATTTTCCTCATTTGTCTCATGCTTCCTTCCTACTTTTCCTCCAATCTTTGAATGTATTTCAGCAATCTGAACTGGACCCAGCCCTCAACTGATGATCTCATCAGCATTGTAGTTTAGGTATAATTTACTGTTTGAGCTTTTGCATTTATCAATCCATTCATTGATTGGATGGGTTTCCCTAACAAGACCCGTATATCTCTTTCTATTTTAGCACCATTCATCGTACATACATATCGACTATTTTCCCATCCTACATGCGCTGCTTTGCAATTGTCTGAATTAGATATCATTTTCCACTTTGTCCAACTCAGTTGAATTTTCTGGGCTGCTTCTTCTCATTCTAGAGTTTTCTTTAGTTTGATTTTATCAGCAAATCTGGCCAAAACATTAGTGCTGCCACCTGCCTTTTTCTCCTAATAAAACATATATTGCACATAGCCACATCTGATGAAGGGCTGCAATCAAAGTAGGATGTTGCTGGGAATGGAGGGTTGAGTTATAAGCAGAGGCTGGATAGGCTGGGACTTTTTTCACTCGAGCGAAGGAGATTGAGGAGTGACCTGATAGAGCTTTAAAAAATCATGAGGGGCATAGATAAAATGAACAGTAAAAGTCTTTTCCCTAGGATGGGGGAATCAAAAACTAGGGGGCATAATTTAAAAGTGAGAGGAGGAAGACTTATAAAGGGCATGAGGGGCAACTTTTTTTACACAGAGAGTGGTTAGTGTGAGGAATGAGCTGCTAGAGAAAGTGGTGGATACAGGTGTAGTTATAACGTTTAGAAGATATTAGGATAAGTACATGAGAATGAGAGGTTTGGAGTGTTATGGGCCAAACACAGGCATATGGGTCTAGTTTGGTTTGGGAACATGGTCAGTGTGGACAAGTTGGATCGAAAGCTCTGTTTCTATGCTGTATGACTCTATGACCCTATGATCTTGCATTGGATTTCTGAGTCCAGGTCATTTGGGTCAGCAAGAAACAGAAGTGAGAACAACACCAAATCTCAGAGCAGCCCACTCAGTGCTTTCTCCCAACATGATATAGTGGCTAAAGCACAGTGTTTTTCCAGCAGGGTTCCCTGAAACCCAAAGATTCTATCAGCGTGCCTGAATGGTTTGGGTCATTTGAAAATTGCACCATTTTTTACAAGATTCATTGTGATTACATTTAATGAAAAATAATCAAAGTGTTTACATGTCCATTCATTTGTTTGTGCAGAGTTTTGTCTTTGTTTTCATTTTCAACTATACAACAGCAGGAATGGAGGAAGGACTGAGGGTTGGGGCTCTACCAAATTTCACATTACATCATAGTGTTCCTCAATCAAACGTAAAGTGTTGAAAACCGCTGATCTAACAAGGATTCACTCATGTCTACATTTTGATCAGTTTCTTGTCTCTTCCATAGACTTACCTGAAACTGCACTGCCTTCTCTTAGCATTTCATTAAATGTTCTCTTGGGCTATTAGTTCCTTAAATTGAAGGCATTTGGTTAAGCAGGATCTTCCCCTTCTGAATCCACACTGCTATTGGTTTAGCCTGGTTATTATTGTGCAGTTACTCCTTACACGTGCCTCTCAATCGATTCCACTTGTGTCTCTGTGGTTCCATGCTTCCCTTTATTTGACTATGTGATAAAGTCCAGAGACTTCAATAGAGAAAAAGAGTTGACCTTTTTTTAAAAAAATTGAACCAAAAGATAATAACTAATCCATCTAGCTTGCACATCCCTGGACCATACGAGCAATCTAGCATGGCCAATCCAACCTGCACATCTTTGGACTGTGGGATGAAAACAGAGTACCCAGAGGAAACCTACACAGACATTGGGAGGTGTAGAGCTGGATGAACACAACAGGCCAAGCAGTTTTCAGAAAACTGAAGAAGGGTCCAGGCCCGAAACATCAGCCTTCCTGCTCCTCTGATGCTGCTTGGCCTGCTGTGTTCATCCAGCTCTACACCTTGTTATCTCAGATTCTCCAGCATCTGCAGTTCCTACTATCTCAGACATGGGGAGAATGTGCAAACTCCACACAGACAGTTGCCTGAGGCTAGAATTGAACCTGGGTCCATGTGCTGTTAGTCAACGATGCTAACCACTGAGCCAATATATCAGGCCATTGCTGAGCATTGTTGGACTTTCACTTGGGACCACCAGCTC